CCCCAATCACCTCTTAATCCCCTCCAAGTTGAGTACAGCATTTGGGGTGGGGCAGAATCTGTAACCCAGTAGGCTTTGGGGTTATCTGATCAGGAGTCAAATCGTGACGGTATCACCACCACCTCCCGCAGTCACCCTGGGCAAGTCACAGGTCCTTCTGTCCCTTGTTTTTCCATCTGAGAAGTAGAGACAATGCCTCCTGCTTTCTGTGTGGTTGTGGGAAGTCAGTGAAAACTTTGCAATTGTTTAGTGTCAGACACATAGTAGGGCTTCCAAAGCTGGAACCTGGAATGTCCTGAAACAGGGCCGTGTACTGCTGAATGCTCATCCGGCTCCCATAGGCATTATCAACTGATTGCAGAACCCTGTCTCACTGAGCCAGGGCAGGAATTCAGAATCTGTCTCCAGACACGGGGACCTCCGTTCCTTTAGTGGAGGGACAGAGGTCCAGAGAGGCCATGTGAGTGTCAGAGGACACACAGTGAGGAGGGGGGGCAGCAGCTGGCACATTGGTGGCACCCAGTAAATATTTGTTGAATTGAATGAGTAGTAAACTCAGCCTACACAGCGGATTTATATGTAGTGATGCCCGGGGCGTGGCATAGAGTGGTGCTCAGCTTCACTTTACTGTTATTATCTTTACTATTATTGGCCTTTTCATTAGGAAAGTGGGCTCTGGAGTTCAAACCCTGGATTTGAATTCTTGGTCCATCATTTGCCTGCTGTCCAACCTCGGACAAATCCTATCCCTTCATTGACGCTGTTTCCTCATCTGTTAAATGAAGAAAGAGTCCCCTAACATTCAACATTGGGAGAATTGCATGGAAATTCTCACAAAGAATTTTGTCTGGCACATAACAGGCACTCAATACATGGCCATGTTATTCATAAAGTGTTAATGTTAGGAAGTGGGATGCAGGTCCATGGAGTGTGTGTCACTGTTTACTCCCGGTGCCTATGGCAGACATTGCTAATCACCCCAGTATGTGTTCCTGTTCAGCCCAAATGTGGCTTCAGAATAATCCTCCCAGCAGCCCCAGCAGCCAATCTCAGCCCCCTGGAGATGCAGGGGGCTCGATCCTCTGTGCCACCCTTTTTTAATAAGAATCAACGGGAAGGAAGGAGAGGCCCAAAGAAGAGCTAAGATGATCCCTGAGGACACACAGTTCCCTGGTGGCAGAGCCGCCCCACTGGATTGGCCACAATCATTAAAAACAGCTTTGAAGTCCAACTGGCGTGGCCCAGTGGTTGAGCATCGACCTATGAACCAGGAGGTTAGGGTTTGACTCCCGGTCAGGGCACATGCCTGGGTTGCCGGCTCAATCCCCAGTGTGGGACGTGCAGGAGGCAGCTGATCTATGACTCTCTCTCATCTGATGTTTCTGTCTCTCTTGCCCTCCATTCCTCTCTGAAATCAATAAAAATATATATTTTAAAAAAACAGCTCTGAAGTCTGACACAGGAAGTTTGAAATGGAGTCCCCCACTTAGATCACTCAACACCTCTGAGCTCAGCTTCCTTGCTTGTAAAATGGAGAATGTGTTGCTGTCTTTCAAACTTGTTGAGAGCCTGGCTCAGCAGTTGAGCGTTGACCCATGAACCAGGAGGTCACTGGTTTGATTCCAGGTCGGGGCACATACGGGGGCAGGGGTTGCAGGCTGGATCCCCAGTAGGGGGTGTGCAGGAGGCAGCCAATCGATGTTTCTTTTTTTAAAAATCTTTATTGTTGAAAGTATTACATACGACCCCCCCCCATTAACCCCTTCCAGCCCATCCCCGCACCCTGTCCAGGCTTTCACCACCTAATTGTCTGTGTCTATGGGATCGATGTTTCTCTGTCTCTATCCCTCTGCCTTCCTCTCTCTCTAAAAATCAATAAAGGGAAAAAGAACGGTTGAGAGAAATAAATGAAATGGTGCCTTGAAGTGCATGACACAGTGCTTAACACATGGTAGATGCTCAATGGAGCGGGACGATTATCAATAGCAGGATCATGAGGCATGGATGGCAGACATGGCTAACTGGCCCCAGAGTGCTTTCCAGCCGCACCCATGTGTAGCTTAGATCCTTCCCAAGCCGCTAGGACAGTCATTTGACGTTTTTGGCCAAGTGGAGCAGAGGCCCAGAAGCCGTAGTGGCATACCTGAGGAAGCAGCTGGGAAATGTTAGGGCAGCGCTAGGTTGGCAGTGGGATTTGGAAACACAGACTCTAGATCAGAAAAGCGCATGTGCAAACCCCGCCTCCCTGCTCCATCACTTATAGGCTGCATGGTCTTTGGTAATTTTCCAAACATCACTGATGCTCACTTTTTTTTTTTAGTATATTTTTATTGATTTCAGAGAGGAAGGGAGAGAGAAAAACATCAATGATGAGAGGGAATCATTGATTGGCTGCCTCCTGCACGCCCCCTACTGGGGATCGAGCCCGAAACCTGGGCATATGCCCTTGACCGGAATCAAACCCGGGACCCTTGAGTCCGCAGACCAACGCTCTATCCACTGAGCCAAACCGGCTAGGGCGTTGCTCAACTTTCTTTATCTGTTGTCTTAGCTCAGATCGCTATAAAAACATGGCATAAACTGTGTGGCTTAAACACAAACATTTATTTCTCCTAGTTCTGGAGGCTGGGTAGTCCAATTTCAAGGTGCCCGCGGATTCAGTTCCTGGTGAGAGCTCACCTGCTGGTTTGCAGACAGCTGTCTTGCTGTGGCCTCACATGGTGTAGAGAGAAGTCATCTCCTGTCCCTTTGTGTAGCACACAAATCCCATGCATGCGGGCTCCATCTTCATGACCTAATTACCTCTAAGGCCCCACCCCTAAATGTCACCTTGGGGGTTAGGGTTTCAACATGGAATGGGGGGGGGGGCGCACAGCATTTAATCCATAACATGTTAAGCAGAGGGAATAAAACCCTCCTCTTTTTAGGGCAGTTGTGAATAAGAAAAGAAAAACTGCCTGTAGAGGGCTTTGCTTTTTGCCTGGCATAGAGGGGATGCTATTTGGGAACAATTACAGTATTGTATTTTGGGTCAGGGATGACTGAGACCATGTGTACCTGCTGACTGAATTCATCTAGCAAGACCCTGCCAATCAATTTGAGTTTTCAGGGGAGGGCAACCTACCCACCAACCACGTCGTAAGAGAAGGCCTACGGAATGCTGGCCACTTTACCTTCCCATGCCCGTCACAGACAACACCCGTCAATCCAGCACTCTCTCCTTCTGGGCCCAGATGTGGCTTTAAAGTTCTTGATGTGGGCCTTAGATATAAAATAGATGTAGAATATATTTTAAAGTTGTTAAGAGAGTAGGTATTAAAAAGTCCTCATCACAAGAAAAAATTTGTAGCTATGGATGGTGATGGATGTTAACTGGACTTATTGTGGTGATCATGTTGCAATGTATACAAATATTAAGTCATTATGTTGTATGTCTGAAACTAGTATAATTTTATATGTCAGTTATATCTCAATTTAAAAAATAGATGTAGGAAAAGAACAGTAAAATTTAACATCCATTATATTTATTTAATTATTTTTTTAACATCCATTATATTTAAAAATATATATTGTTCGGATTCTAGGAATAAAATTAAACATTTATTTTTTTAAATTAAAGATCCTTAACCTGATAAAGGCCATTTACAAAAAAACTACAGCAAAGGTCATATTTAGCTGTCAAATGTTTAAAACATTTCCTTTAAAATCAGAAATAAAGAAGATACTATCACATTGTAACCCCTGCACTAAGACAAGAAAAATAAATAACAGAGATTGGAGATAAATAAAACTGTCATTGTTTGCGGGTGTTAAGTTTATACTTAAAAAAAAAAAAGCTTATCCCAGCTGGCATGGCTCAGTGTTTGAGCGTTGACCTATGAACTAGGAGGTCGTGGATTCCCAGTCAGGGCACATGCCCAGGTTGCAGGCTCCATCTCCAGTAGGGGGACCTGCAGGAGGCAGCCGATCAATGATACTCTCTCATCATTAATGTTTCTGTCTTTCTCCCTCTCCCTTCCTCTCTGAAATCAATATATATATATTTAAAGCTTAGTGGAAAAAACTGGAGGTGCCCTGGCTGGTGTGGCTCCGTGTCATTAGTGCACCGAAGGGTCCCTGGTTCCATTGCTGGTCAGGGTGCATGACGCAGGAGGCAGTGGATTAATGTTTGTCTCTCACATCGATGTTCTCTCTCCTCCCTCTCTCTCCCTCTCTCCCTCTTCCGTCCTCTCTTTAAAATTAATTTAAAAAAATTTTTTTTAAAAAAAGAGGGAAAACTGTGGGTGTAAATGCCTAGTAGGAAATTTATGCACAAAATGTCAACACATTTGGGATAGGAATTACCTTTGGTGGGAGAAGGAAAGTACACGGGCAGGGAGAAACTTGTGAGAAAGGGCTGCAAAGCTAATAAAAATGTTATATTTCTTATTCTGAAGACAAAGGTGTTCATTACAGGCCTAGCCAGTTTGGGTCAGTGGATAGAGCCTCGGCCTGCTGACCGAAGGGTCGGGGGTTTGATTCCGGTCAAGGCCATGTACCTCGGTTGCAGGCTTCTCGCCAGCCCAGGCCCCGGTCCGGGCGCATGCAGGAGGCAACCAATCGATGTGTTTCTCTCACATTGATATTTCACGCTGTCTTTCCCTCTCTCTTCCACTCTCTCTAAAAATCAATGGAAAAATATCCTCCAGTGAGGATTAAAAAAAAAAGTGTTCATTATATTATTCTGAAAAAACACAGGTTGGTTTTAGATAAACAGGGAAACATACATACAAAGAGCCATATATGGCATTCATATGTGGTATTTTTTCACAGTAAAATCATATGTTAAGTGCTTTGCTCAGTGCTCAGGGAGTGGAAGGGGTTATTAGAATAATGTGACGTCCTCTCCCCTGTTCAAGCCCATGCCAGACATGAGTGATCCATCACCGCAGGGCCCCTCCTCACTCCCCTGGTCTCCTGGGGACTGGGCCGTGAGTGGGTGTGGCCTGTTGTCTCCAGCAGATACTCGGGGCCATGGAGTCTCAGGTGGCAGGGGGCCCGGCCGGCCCGGCCCTGCCCAATGGGCCACTCCTTGGTACAAACGGAGCCACTGATGACAGCAAAACCAACCTCATCGTCAACTACCTGCCCCAGAACATGACCCAGGATGAGTTCAAGAGTCTCTTCGGCAGCATTGGTGACATTGAGTCCTGCAAGTTGGTTCGGGACAAGATCACAGGTGTGGCTGCTGGCAGGTGGGGAGGTGGACGGGGGAGGTGGTAGCCTCGAGGACAGGTGTGATGGGGCCAGTGGTGCTCTGGAGGTTTCTGAGGTGTGGCTAGGAGCCAGGTGTGACCCCAGGTGGGGTGTCTTGGGGACAATAAGGGCAGGTGGACGAGGAGGGGGTGGTCAGCCTCTCACACCTGGGTCAGGGAGGATCCTGGCAGGTCCAGGGAGGTAGGTCATCGACCTGGTCCTGCACACAGGGCAGAGCCTCGGCTACGGGTTTGTGAACTACTCTGACCCCAACGACGCAGACAAAGCCATCAACACCCTCAACGGCCTCAAACTACAGACAAAGACCATCAAGGTGGGTGCCCTGTTCCCCTTGCTGCCTGTCCCCCTATCCCGTTAGTGCCCATCCCGACTGTCCCCATGTCCCCTTTTCACTGCCCACCAGGACCACCCCGTCACTGCCATCCATCCATCCTCCCCCGCTCATCCCCCGGAGGGGTTTAATCTCCCCGAAGGCTTTCTGGTTAGCCAGCCCGGGGCCCAATGCCTTTGCCTCTCTGAACCTCAGTCTCCTCGCGTGTCAATGGGGAGAATATTAGCCCCCACATTCTGTGGGGGTTCACGGAGGTGCCCTCCAACTGGTACTAGGAGAGAGTGACAGGGGTCCAATGGGCAGCCCCCTCCCTGCCTTTGTTAGGGAAATGGGGGAAGGGTGGGGATCCATCTGCCATCTGGAGCCTAATTAGGGTCTGGGAGGGCGGGATTAGGGGCGGGCCACTCCCCCACCTTTGTGCAATGCCCCTCCCCCCACGACCTCCCCTCTCAGCAGCTGCAGCTGGGACCCTGGGAGCCCAGGTTCCCTGGGGGGGTTGCCATGGAAACTCCTCTCTCTAGGTTGCCTGGAGTGTCTGGGCTCCACCCCACAAATCTGCTCCTGAACCCTGGGGGAAGGCGGGCCGGTGGGGCACCCATCTGGCCCCCAGTTCGCCATGGGAACAGAGGTGTGGGAATCTCTTCCTCTCCCTGGGGTGGGGCAAGGTCGTGACCTAAGGGCTCTCTCTCTGCCAACTAGACCCCGAAGCCCCCAAGCATGAGGGTGGACTCTATAATGAGCTGTAAGACCCTGTGTGTGTGTGACCCTCTGTGAGACGGTGTTTGTTGGACACCGTGGCGATGTGAGTGGCTGTTGTCACATAGGTCCAGCTATTGTAGACTTCGGGTGTGTTACTGCATCTGTGGGACGTTTTCTATTTGACAGGCACTTTGTCACACACTGCCACTCGGCTGTGACCTGGTGGGGCCTCATGGGTGTGTCTGGCTGTGATGGAGTGTTTGTATGTCACAGTGAAGTGTGGTTATGGCTACCGGTGCCCCACTCGGGGTGGAACATGTGTGATGTTGTAGGCTTGTGCGGTGGTATGACAGGCGTGTGCAACTCTTACTATCCTTATCCAAGATCCTCAGCGTTGCCATGAAGGTGGCCGAGGCCTTGTGTTACCCTCTGCCTGTGCATTGGCTAGCACACTGGCCGTGTGTGTGTGTGTGTGTGTGTGTGTGTGTGTGTGTGTTTGTGTTTCTGTCTGACTGTCTGTCTGCCAGAATGGCTGTGTTGTATGGTCAGCCTATGTGTTCCAGCAGATTCTGCCCAAAATAATTCCAGCCCCCCACTGTGTGCCAGGCACCGTCCTAGTGGGGGGGGGGGGACCCAGGTTAGCTCACATGATGGAAGGACCTACTCTGTTCCTCAGATGACACCTAACCAGGAGCTCAGATCCCTCTTCTGGTCAACCCAACTTCAACCCATCAACAAGTCCTCAACCCGTCCTCACCCCTCAAAGTTCACAGACCTGTGGTGGGGGGAGTAAAAATTGTAAAATACATGGCGTGATTTTTAGTTATCATTACAGAAATAATAGCAGCGGATGTGTTTTCCTTTTTTTTTTTTTTTTTTTTTTAAAGATTTTTGATTGACTTTTTTGGGAGAGAGAGAGAAACAGTGATGCAAGAGTGGAACATTGATCGGCTGCCTCCTGCACGCCCCCAACTGGGGATCGAGCCTTGCAACCATTAGGTGCACGGGATGACACCCAACCAACGGAGCCACACTGGCCAGGGCTGATGTGTTTGTTTTCTGTAGTTGTGGGTTTTTTCTGGAGAACCCCAGGTGTACAATTAATTAGAATGTCCCCGCACCACCCCATGAGCACCCTCACCCTGATCCACCCTCAGCCCAATTTATTCATTTTGTTAGTTTTTAAATTAGCCGTTTCTAACGAAGTAGCATGCCCTCACAACTCACAGCCCCAAACAAAAACCAGACCCTTGACAATGACCCCTATCTTCCCTGAGGTTATAGAAATAGAGAAATACAGATATCGGCAGAAATCAAGAGAGAGGAGTCAGGGCACTCCCTGCCCCCGCCAGCTATGGGTCACCCTGTAAGCACTGGGGGTGGGCCCTTCGGTCCACGTTCCCAGGACATTGATAGACACACAATGAGATGGGGTCACACAATCCTCGCTGCTCTATAAATGGACTTTTTCTTTCCTCCACTTCACAATACTCACCACTGTTTCAGGAAAATCAATATCCACGTCCCCCATTTTTTGAACAGCTGCAGAGAGTTTCATTGTTGGGCTGGACCCATTAGTGACACGAATCTAATGATCCTGCTCACATGTGTCTGATTCGCAAGGAGTTTGTACTAAAACGTGTCTAATGCCAAGAGAAGTGCTGTGAGAGAAAGTAACGTGGGTAGGACATTTCAACGGAGACCCAGAGAAGAAGAAAAAGGAAGAGAGTTCCAGGCAGAGGGAACAGCCCATGCAAAGGCCGCGAGGCAGGACCATGCCTGGTGTTTGGGGAACAGGATGAGGCCTGTGTGACTGGAACACAAGGGGGAAGCGGGTGGAGATGAGGCTGGCGGTGAGGCGGTAGATGGCCTTGTGGACCATGGGACGGACTTGAACTCGGAAGAACGAGGGAGCCATGGATGGTTCTGAGCAGAGGAGTGAGGTGACCTGGCTCAGATGGTCACGGTGCTCTCTGGCTGCTGTGTGGGGATCGGCCGTGAGAGGTGAGGCTGGGGGTGGGGACCAGGGCAGGAGACTACGTCCTGGTTGGGTTAGCAATGGTGGATACCGGTCCAAAGTGGGGAGATGCAAGTGGGAGGCAGGCCCTGCCGGGTGGCTCAGTTGGAGTGTCGTCCCATACACAAAAAGTGGCAGCTTGACCCCCGGTTGGGCTGCATGCAAAAGGCAACCAATCGATGTTTCACTCTTGTATGGATGTTTCTTCCTCTCTCTCTAAAATCAGTTTTTAAAAAAATCTATGTTTATTGATTTCAGAGAGGAAGAGAGAGATAGAAACATCAATGATGAGAGAATCATTGATCGCACGTCCCCTACTGGGGATGAGCCCTGACCGGAATCGAACCATGACCTCTTGGTTCCTAGGTCGTCACTCAACCACTGAGCCACATCAACCAGACTCTAAGGTCAATTGTTAAAAAGCATGTCCTCGGGTGAGGATTAAAAAAAAAAGTAGGAGGAGGAAGTATGCAGATTCTGGATCATGAGAAGTAACGTCAGCAGGACTGACGGTGGATCAGATGTGGGTGTAAGGTCAGAGAGGAGTCACGGACAACTGAGGCTGGGTCCTGAGCTGCCATTAGAGTCAGGAAAGTTGGGGGGAGTCGGGAGCCTGGAGGCAGGTGTCACAGGTGTAGAGAGGAGGGGCCAGATTTGTGCTGGGAACGGACATTTGCGAGTCGTCAGGTTTGAGGTGGTGGCTAAAGGCCTGGGTGACTCAGGGGCCCAGTGCAGTCGGGAAAACAAGGGTCAGTGTCCCAGGCTCACTTTCCAAGGGAGTGGGGGGCACTGTTGCTGACGGGGTGTCCAGCGTGAGGGCATGAGCTGGGATGCAAGAGCCCCTGGGGTCTTGAGGGAGACGGGACCCCAGGCGTGTGGCTCCTTTGACCTCAGGTGTCAAGTCCCCCCATCACTAAGCAGACAGGGCCATGGCCAGGCCTCCCCCCCAAGCCCCAGTGGCCACAACCACGGTGACTCCTCAAGAGATATTTGTTGAGTGAACAGTGAGGCGTTTCTGCGACTCGGTGGTGGTTCTGACGGGGCCTCTCTCCCCCTTTCTGCGAAATGGGTCTTCCCCTCACACCTGTCGCCTGACCCTCCCCAGGTGTCCTATGCCAGACCCAGCTCTGCATCCATCCGGGATGCCAACCTGTACGTCAGCGGGCTCCCCAAGACCATGAGCCAGAAGGAAATGGAGCAGCTCTTCTCCCAATACGGTCGGATCATCACTTCCCGGATCCTGGTGGACCAGGTCACAGGTCAGGCCGCCGGGGAGGGTGCACCTGGTGAGGGCGCTGGGTGGAGGCACCAAGGCGAGACCAAAACAGAGAAATGGGGAATGGCAGGGCGGGAATCGGGAGCAGGAGGGGCTCGCAGGGGAGGAGGCCGGGTCCTCGTGACACCCTGGCTCCCTGCAGGTGTGTCTCGGGGTGTGGGGTTCATCCGCTTTGACAAGAGGATTGAGGCCGAGGAGGCCATCAAAGGACTGAATGGGCAGAAGCCGCTGGGTGCAGCCGAGCCCATCACGGTCAAGTTTGCCAACAACCCAAGTCAGAAGACGGGGCAGGCCCTGCTCACGCACCTTTACCAGTCATCGGCCCGGCGCTATGCAGGCCCCCTGCACCATCAGACACAACGCTTTCGGTGAGCCCCACCCCCTATCACCCCCAGGCCTGCAGGGCGAGGGACACCAGCACAGGCCCACATGCTGGGGCCACTGAGGGCAGCAAAAGGGCAGCGTGGGGACCTGCAGGTGTGAGGCCAGGCCCTTCCATGCAGCAGGTGCTCAGCGAGCGCAGGTTTAGAATCACCTGGTCAGGTCCAGCTCTAGCTGCCCCCTCTGGCACGGGACTCCCACTGTCTGCCTCCGTTTCCTCATCACATTCCATGAGTGTGTACTGCGGGCCAGGCACACGCCTTTATCCTGCGCAGCAACCCCGTGAGAATGCAGCCTGTCTTGTCCCAGGCGATGGATGGGGGCCCTGAAGCTCAGAGAGGCATGGTCCCTGCCCAGCCCAGCCATTGTGGTGAAGGGATCAAACCTTCATGTCTGGGGACCTGAGCCCTACAGGGTGTGACGGGCGGTGGGAGAGGGAGGGTGAGGATGTGGCAGAGCAGGCAAGAGGCGGTGCCGGAGTGACCACGGTCCGTGCCAGGCGGTGTCCAGCCGGGCAGGCGGCGGGGGCAGGGCTGGCACTGTTGGCCTGCGGGGTGGGGGCAGGGAGGGCAGGCTGGCTGGCCTGCATCACAGCCGGGGACGCGCCTGGAGGCCACCGTGACCACCCCTTCTGCTCCACAGGCTGGACAACTTACTCAACATGGCCTACGGAGTCAAGAGGTAACAGTGCCCCCACCCCACTGCCCCCAGCCCCTCGCGGTCCCTTCTCGGACCCTTGCCCTGATGGACACCTCTCCACCTCCCCCCCAGGACTGCCAGCTTAGCCGTGTCTGCACTGTTGGGGAGTAGCGTGCCCATTAGGGGATGTGGGGGCTGTGGAGCCTAGCAAATGCCCACAGAGAGCTACTGTAGAATTTGGGCCCAGGGCCCTCTCCAGCCTAGTGAGGGGTGGGCAGTGCTGCCCAGGTCACAGCCACGGCTCCTGGTGCCCATGTCCAGCGGGAGTTCCACCTGCACTGTTGGTGGTCCTTGCTGAGGGTCACATCTGCCCCTTCTGCCCTGTGGTCCAGGAGGGCCCCCAAGGCCCCCATGACATTGACCACATCCCTGACCCTGCGAACGTCCTGAGTTTATTGCATCATGAGCTGCTGAGTGCACGCTGAGGACTGGCCCTGGCTGGCGGCTGGGTCCCCGGTGTGGCCCAGCCAGACTTGGTCCCCATGGAGATGAAATGATATTGAGCACAGTGCTTGGCACATAGTGAGCGCTCAATAAAGGTAGCTGCTCTGAAGATCATTGTTACTGTTATTAATTATCTCAGTCTAGTGGGAAAGGAGACAGGTGCACAGTGACCAGGGAGGTGGAGTGGGCAGACGGGGTGATGGGACCCAGAGGGGCCTCAGCCATCGGAGGCAATAGAGGGGAAGCCGAGTTCCTGGCAGCAGGAATGGCCTGGGCGAGGCCTGGGCGAGAGAGTGAGCGGTTAGTTCCAAAAGCTCAGATCGGATGGCTCAGGCTCCGGCCCCGCCCGGTCGAGTGGAGCCAGGTGCCCACTGTGTACGAGGCCCTGTTCTGGGCGGGGGCCCCACAGAAAACACAACCTTTTAGGGAAGAGGGAGCCGATAGCAAATACACAGTTTACCCAGGAAATGGCCGGAGCGGGACGGGGAGCAGGTGGCCTCCTTATGGCTCGGAGGAGGCTCCGAAGGAGGTGACGGTGTGCTTAGCCCCGAATAACAGGAGGCAGGCGCCTAAATGGCCACATCACACCTGGGCTCCCAGCGCTGCCCTTCTGGGCGGCCAGCAGGACACATGGGACAACATGGCAGGGTCAGGATGGGGTCAGAGAGGGAGCCAGGGCAGGAGCTGGGTGGGAAGATGTGGCCAGGGGTGTGGGGAAGTAGTCAGGGGCAACAGAGCCAAGGACCAAGTAGGACCAGAGGTCATGGGGTCAGGATTCGTTCAGGGCTCAGGGCAGGATCAGAGGTTAGGAGAAGGGACAGGTCAGGGTGAAGACTGGGGGACGGGGTTGAAGGTGGGATGACAGATGGAGGTCACAGCAGGGTCAGGACAATGCAGGGCTCACAAGAGTCCCAGGGTCAAGGCCCCATCAGAGGTCATGGCAGTAGCAGAGGTCACGGGTCGGGGGCATGCCGGGGGTCAGGGCAGAGCCCGCGTGACCCCCAAAGTAGTCCCCTGTCGCTCATCGCCAGGTTCTCGCCCATCGCCATCGACGGCATGAGCGGCCTGGCGGGCGTGGGCCTGTCGGGGGGTGCCACGGGCGCCGGCTGGTGCATCTTCGTGTACAACCTGTCTCCGGAGGCGGACGAGAGTGTGCTGTGGCAGCTGTTCGGGCCCTTCGGGGCGGTCACCAACGTCAAGGTCATCCGCGACTTCACCACCAACAAGTGTAAGGGCTTCGGCTTTGTCACCATGACCAACTACGACGAGGCGGCCATGGCCATCGCCAGCCTCAATGGCTACCGCCTGGGCGAGCGTGTGCTGCAGGTGTCCTTCAAGACCAGCAAACAGCACAAGGCCTGAGCCACCTCCGCCCTCCCCACCTCCCCGGGCAGCAGAGAGAGAGAGAGAGTTTGAGAGAGAGAGAGATTGAGAGAGAGAGAGAGTTTGAGAGAGAGAGAGAGAGAGGGAGAAGGGGCCCGAGAGAGACAGCGCAGGCAGACCACGGACGGCACGAGGCCCCACACCCCTGCGAAGCCACAGGGTGAGCACTCGGGCTGGGAGGGTCTGCAGGGAATGGGGGGGCCTGGGGTCCCCCACCCCGTCCTCCTGCCCCTACCCCAGGCTGGGCTGTTCACTCTCTCGTCTTGGTTTTGTTCATGGAGATGGTTTTTGTTTCTTTTTTCGGCTGAAAAGAAAGCAGAGATGTGCCCCCACCCAACCGCCAACCAGCTGCACAGGATGGTTTTGGGCGGGTGCTGGGTGCCCTCCAGGCCTCCCCACACTGAGGTGAGCCTGAGGGGGGGAGGAGACAGGTTTAAAAATCCCCAACAAAGCGAAACATGAGGGGTGTGGGCATCCTGGCCCCCTCGGTGCATTGTGAGGAGCAGGGTGAGGGGCTGGAGACAAACAAAACGGAAAAAAAAGGGGGGGGGGGGGGGAGGGGGAGAAAAACTCTATTTTTGTAAAAAGGGGAAAAAGACCTCGTGGAGAATTTTTACTGGGGATTCTTGAACTTGAAAAAAAAAACACAAAAAAAGACAAAAAAAAAAAGAAAATATTTTGACAGGTTATGTTTACCAACTGGGCAAAGACGGGAAGCAGGGCCTGGGGCCGGGGCCCAGGGGCCGCACAGAGACACTCGCCCCCCAGGAACACACAGCACTGACAGACGCGACAACCCTGACACACAGGAACTGGCCAAACAGACACGGAGACGCACACAGACTGGAGTGGGAGCCATGTGAATGTGGAGCGATCGGACACGGACATGGACAAACGTGTCACAGGCAGACGTGGACAGAGGTGACTGTGGACAGCGGACGTACAAATATGTCCACGCGCTCACGTGAAGACGTGAAAGTGGAGACATACATTTGGAGACACAAATCCAGACACCCAGTCTCAGACACAACACCCAGGAACACACAGACACGCCCACAGTTCCCTCGGACCCAGGCGCCCAGCCCTCCCGGCACCCAGCCCCGCTCGCCCTGCCCCAGGGTCTCTGCAGAGCTCTCTCCTGGCTCATCAGTGGTCCGTGCCGCCCGTGAACACAGGCGTGCACACAGCGTCCTGCATCCAGACACACGATACCTCGTTCACTTTTGGCATCATGGTGGGCTGGAGGCAGCACCCCCCAATACTTGAGGCCAAAGGACCCCTTGTCCCTGGGGCTGAGCCGTCTCTGGGGCTGAGCCTCCCCCCGGCCCAGGCCCTGGCCCGTGAGGCCAAGGGCGAGGCCAGGCCCTGAGCCTCCCCCGGCCCAGGGCCTCCCCGTCAGGCCCAGTGTGGACAGGCCCAGGGGCCCCGCCCCGCTTTTCCTCCCCATCCACTCGTCACCCCTTTTAGTTTGTTGGGGTTTTCCATCTTTCCGATGAGTGAGGGCGGTGGACACAGCTCCCATCCCAAGCCCCAGCCCTGGCTTCTGTCTGGACTTTCCATCCCCCTAGTTTTCATTCTTTGTAACGAAAAATTCCAACAGAAGCCCAAGGCGGGAGCCCCTGGGAGCCCCTGGGAGCCCCTGCAGCCCCCACCCCTCGCAGTGGGCCCAGTCAGAACTGAAAATTGCAAACCCCGATTTTAGATTCAGTTGACCTTTCTCCGGTGTCCTGCTTTGGTGTCTGGCCATGGCCCCATCTGACTGCCCAGCTCTCTCTCCCCACCCTCCCTGGTGTTTGTTATTAAACGTCTGTGGAGCTTCTGCTGCAAGGAACAAAAAGAAAAAATTTAAAAAGCAACAAAAAAATACAAAGAAGAGAAAAACAAAAAAAAAAAGAAGAAAAAAAAAAAACACTGAAGAGATTTAAAAAAAGAAAAAAAAAAAGACATAAACTGGCACCAGTTAACTTTCTTGTACTTTTTTGCCGAATTTAGCTTCTTGTAGTTTTAACTTATTGCTATGTTAACTATTTATTCTTGTTGCCCTGTAAGAACATTTGTGTATATTTCTGTTCCTTCATCCAGTTTGCAAGTTTAAAGGAACCACGATGTTCTCTTTGTTTCTTTAAGTTTTGCTGAGACGTGGTTATGCCTAATTTATTTATAAAGGGGAAGTGGAATCATTAAAGTAATAATTATTAATAACAGGAACGGTAGCCGGTGGCAGCGGTGGGGCGTGTGCGCTCTCCGGGGCGGCCCCCACCTGGCCAACGACGTCCGGTCTCAATGGGATTCTTTTTGCTCGTCTTGAGAATTTTTTCAGTCCTATTTAGCTGGTGAAAACCCTAGCTTGTTCTTGGTACACGAACCTATTTATTCTTGTGGTTTTAAGTCCTGATCTCCCTGCTCCCCTCCAGCAGGGCAGGCCCCCCGCGGGTCCCTCCCTCTCCCTCTGTTTCTTGGGGCTTTCTCCCCTCTGCCCTCCCTGCACGCAGGGACACGTGTGCACACGTGGGCAGCGTGCCGGGGGCATCCGTGAGCAATAAGGGCTGGGTTTGTCCCCCACCTGGGGGTGCTGGGTTCTGGAGAGGGCCCCTCCCCCCCCAACCCCCCCCCCCCACTGAGGCCTAGGCCCCTGCTACCCCCAGACTGGGAGTGCACTTCTTTTTCTAAAACACAGAACTCAGCCCAGCCAGCCAGCCCCTACCAGGAGGCCGGCCCAGGGGAAGGGCCTGGGGTCTTCCATGTCTCTGGGGGGCAGGGGCAGGGCCCTTGGGGAGGGGCTCAGCCCCGCAAGCCCTCCCTTCATCCTGTTATTTATTCGGAAGGTTTCACATCATGACAGTCCGTATGTTGGAGATGATAAAGAACTGCAAAAAAAAAAAAAAAGACAAAAAAACACTTTGCGTTGCATTTAGACTATTTATTACCGGATTACAGGCCTGGCCGCGGTAACAGACTTTTACATGGAATTGTTTAATTATTTGTACTTTTCATGCCAGAAAATAAAAGTTCAGAATCTTACAGCCTTGGCTGGGTGTCTGTGTGCCGGTGGGTGGGAGCGTTGTGTGCCGTTGGCCCTGGCTGGGTGCCTGGGTCTCATCTCAGCTCCTTGGCCGACCCACAGCAGACACTCCAGAGGGCGGGCGATGGCTCAGGGAGAAATGCGACGGACACGGCCCACGGTCCATCTGTCCCTTGGTGCCCGACTTTGCTGTCTGTGTGCATCTTGGGTTTGGTCATCTCACTCGTGGAGCCAGCCTGATGGGTCTGCAGATAGCTGTGGCCCCTGCCTTCTGCCCTGTGCCCACCCTTGGCCCAGCCAAGCAAAGGAGACACATATGGGTTGGGGAATCATTTATTGTTCAAGGTCACAGTCTATTCAGTCCCCACCAGCAGGGGAGGCAGACGCCATGGGCAGGGGCACGG